TGGCCTCTGTAGCATTACCACTCCGTGGGATCCGAAGCAGGTGCGCAAGTCACCGACCCTGCCTAACCTTGCTGTGAGCACACAGTAGACCTCGTCGGATACGACGAGAACCACAGCATACTAGGAAACAATTAAATCGGCCAGACAGACAGAAATATCACCATATCTGAACAGAAAAGACTACTGACCGTTTAAGTGGTACACGATGAAACTGACGCAGACGCAGAGGTGTGTTAAATGTGGGAAAGAAGGGTGGCCACAGTTCTACAGCGGGTGTGCTGTGCTGAAGAGGACCGCAGCGTGCTAAACATCCAAACATGCCACCGGAGCGCATGGCATAGAACTCGTCGTTGGAGAGGTTGAGAGGATCCTTGGGTGGAAGGCCCGAGGCGGCCGCGGCGGCTGACGCCATAGTTGCCGCGGTTTCGCTGGCACCAACATCTTCGCCATCTTCTGAGTGCCAGTCCCCTTCGGCCAGGAACCCGTGCTGAAGAGTGGAGGGCACACAGCTGGATTTTACACAAATAAGATAGATCTTGAGCAAAAAGCTGCCGTTAACTGGAGAAATAACTACCTGCAATCAATTAAAAATCCCCTTAGTATCTTGTTATGAATAGGAACTTGCTTCGCTATTTCTCTACACACCTTCATAGTTCCTCTTGTAGGACGAGTAATTAAAAAACGAGCACCGACATGTAACAGACAAAACGCAAAGTGGCGGTCGTGTGGTCGAAGGCACACTTGTTTACCTCAAGTAAGGGGGGGTGGTGGCTTTTCAACTGCACTGAGCTCTATCCATTCAAGGGCACAAGTTACGAGCGGATCCGACTACACTTTTCCTAATCATATCAAAAAGTGCATGAATAGTTGTAATTTGATATTAAAATATTCCCTGCTTTCAGAAAAAATAGGGTCGGAGCGCGTAATTTCCTGTGAAACAGTTATGGTGGATGTTTTTTCAGTCCTTTCGAGGAAGATGCAGATTCCGCAGAAGCATGGAAAATGAATGAAGACAGGTTCACATCTGGCGAAGTTTTGCACAAAACCAACATATGTGTATTGAAGCTTTCAAGCTGAAGCCTGCGTTCCATGTTCTGTTGAATAATCTGACAAATAATAATAATCTAAATAATGGTAATAAATAAAAATCGCAACAAATATTAGTCTAAATAATCGGACAATCTGTTCCGTCCTGATAAATATTGTAACCCCTTTGAAAATAATCTTTTCAACTTCGGTGAATACTGCACCATACGACAATGAACGAAAATATATGCCGTGAAGTCTTGGAAACAAGTGAGTCTCAAAGGTTAACTCTATCAATAGCAAGCCTGCACTTGAAAAGAACGGACTCGACAGCGCCGCTTTACTTAAAAGAAGTTGTTTTTGATCTGGAAGTCATGAATTTCTTGCAACAGACTCAACTCTATCTTATAAAAAAGGTCCTCAACAGATAGGATTGCAGTACTGATTCCGGACTATTCGAACCTGGCGCTGAGTATGGCTGGTTGACGAAGGTAATAATTCGGAAATGGCCATCACAGGCTTCCTCTGACTTTGTAATTACTTCTTTCTAAATCAAGACGAACTTTTTTACGATCACCGAATGCGCTCAGTGCTCCTTGGATGGGCTATAGTGCCCGCTAATCTGGACGAAATACTGGAACACGAAGGCGGCCAACTGTAACATAACTCAAGTTGCGCGCCGGGTAAGTTCGTGAAATTGCATAGGCTCTAATTATATCAACTATTGCGCGTGCCAGTGGCCGCTGTTGTTGACCAATCGCAGCTATCCAAAACGGCCAACCAACTTCAAGGCCGATGCTGACACCCCTACTGAAGGCGCTTTGACGCATCCCCCACGATCACGAGGGCCACTTGTTCTTGCGGCCCCGTGCGTGTACTCTGGTTTGGCTACCAACTTCGTCCAAATTATTATCTAACCAGTTTGTGCAGAATACAATGCCCTATCTACTGACGCCTAACTTCTCCTATTTGGGATCGGGCCTGAAAATTTGGTTTAAACTACCGCGACAAGATCTCAGGTATCACTAGTCCGCTCGATTGTGCCTGTCTTTCCCAGCCCTCAAATATCCGTTGACTCCAGTTGAACTTAAAGGCAGAATGGTGATGAGAAAACGACTTCTGTTTCTTACCTTGCCGAGAATTCGTTTCACCTTTTCAGCGCCCTGCGCCGCCTTGGCTAGTGCACCGGTCAGCATGCCCCGTGTTGATGCAGGCCCAAAACTGACATGAAAACTGGCTCGATTGATTGCATTCTTCTGCTGCTGTTGCTGTCCTGGGTGTTGTTGTTGTTCCAACTCACCCGTTTCTCCCGAAGGTGCGTCATCTGCTGAACCAAAGAGGACTACCCGTGAGCGGCCGCTTATAGCAGCCACTTCGTCATCATTGATGACATGGTCCATAACACTGATCTCGTCCTTGAGATCCAAGGTCAGCAGGAAGGCGGGTTGGGTGCGTGCAGCGACAACCGGATCGTAGATGATATCCCATCGCCAGCTGTCGTTGAGGATGTTTGCGTTCTCAACCGGGAAGAAGGCATATGGAGTGCTCGAGGTAGCAACCGTTATTGACTGCACAGCCGCTGCATTTTCAACACTGCGGGGAATGCGGAAACTTCCAGCAGCTGTTTGGTCAGCTCCAGCGCCGGTAAGGGTCTTGTAACCGAGGATACCTGGGTATTTACCTTGATAGGCGTCCTGTAGGAGAAGGATGTTTGTAATGAG